TTATCGTTGCGCAGCTTTTCTACGGTATACAAAAGCTGCGTAACGATAACGAAACTGTCGTTAACTTCAGTAACGAGTTATAGAATTCCAGTGCTGTGCTGGAATTCTGTAATTCGTTATTGGAGTTAACGACAGTTTTGTTATCGTTGTGCAGCTTTTGTATATTGTAGAAAAGCTGCGCAACGATAACGAAACTGTCGTTAACTTCAGTAACGAGTTATAGAATTCCAGTGCTGTGCTGGAATTCTGTAATTCGTTATTGGAGTTAACGACAGTTTTGTTATCGTTGTGCAGCTTTTGTATATTGTAGAAAAGCTGCGCAACGATAACGAAACTGTCGTTAACTTCAGTAACGAGTTATAGAATTCCAGTGCTGTGCTGGAATTCTGTAATTCGTTATTGGAGTTAACGACAGTTTTGTTATCGTTGTGCAGCTTTTGTATATTGTAGAAAAGCTGCGCAACGATAACGAAACTGTCGTTAACTCCAATAATGAGTTACAGAATCCCAGCACTGGGCCCTTATTCTTGAAATAGTTGAGATACGTAAATTTTACTGCGCAGGTTTAATCATACCATAAAATAGCTGCGCAATGAAAATTACGTATACGCAAGATATTTATGAAGATATTTATAAAATATTTATAAGAAAAAAAAGAAAGGGAAATATTTAAAGATATATGCTATACGTTAGTTATATGCGACTGATATATTTACCCTTCCAGCGTCGCGTCCACCATATCCGAATCCTCCTCCCTGATATCCTCCGACACCACCGTCCTGGTAACTACCGCTACTACTATCACCAAACTGTGGGTATCTGTAGGACGATGATGATCCTCCGAATACACTACCGGCAGCACCTGGTCTGCCAAAAGCGTCGCCACCTCCGCCGCCCGGTGGGCCGTAAACCTGGGTAGGTCTTCCACCTCTATAACTGCCGACGCCGAAGTCACCGCCAGTACGGGCACCTCCGACGTTGAAACCGGCGTCACCGCCTACAAATCCTCCGCCGCCACCAACGAATCCACCGCTGCCAGGTCGGTTATACTGATATCCTCCGGCACCACCACCTGGCAAGAGACCAGCAAGGACATCGCTGCCGAGGCACGACAGCACCAAGACCAGCTTGGCTAACTGCAATCAAAAGATTCGATGTGGAAGATTTACCACAAGATCAGTGAGTGGCAATTAATAGTGAAATATAGTGAAGTATGAACACATCGGCTCGATTCAAAATCCAAATTTTGATTTAGTTGAATCAATTTGGAAAAATCACAAAGTGGAAATATATGTAATTCTCTTCAAAATAAAAACTCTCTCTCTTTCCCTCTTATTCCTCTTTCAAATAATCGATTATTAATTCTTGCGATAAATATATATTTTCGATACCTTAATAGTGAACTGAAAGATCCAAGAAATACCAAGTATCAGTAACATAACATCGATATTACTGATACTTGATATTTACTTGGGGCAGTCACTTATATTTGACGCATGTTTTCGTCAACTTAAAATTATTGTAAAATTCTGAAAAAATTGATGATACTTATTTCAAATCTACATACATTATAAAGGATACATTATAAAGTTATAAAAGACTCTCAGAGTCTCGACTGATGACGTCACAAGTGAGAAAACGTATGCTGAAAATTCTTGCGAAATAATACGCTAAAATAATACGCTGAAATAAAAAGATATGTCCACAGAGTGACTCATTAGATCAATTATATATATATATATATATATATATATATATATATATATATATATATATAAGCACATTTTTAAAATATATTAAAAACTTTTCTTTTATTCTACTAGTGAATAGATAAATCACAAATTTAACATGTAATTTTTCTTTTTTTTATTTGACAAATGTATTGAATCACAAGTGTCATTTTTTATAGACATAACTTTTTATTTCAACATATCCCGCAAAAATTTTAGGTATACATTTTCTCATTCTTTTCTGACATTATTAATCAAAGTTGATATATGATTTTTAAGTTGTTTTTTAAACAATATTTTTTAATAAAAATCTATGATAAAAACTATTTTGTTTAAAAAATCATAGCTTTTGTAATTTTCCTTAAAAAGAAAAATTTATATTTAACATCGTAACATTAATAAAAAAGTTTGTTATCGTATTTGAAAAAAAAGTGGATTATTTTGGCTTGTGAAAATCGTATTTTTTTGTATAAGAAAATAAGATTAAGTAACATAAAAAGAAAACATTTTTTTGCATTATACAAAACTAAGGAAAGAAGTAAGAAACACAAGAAGTCCAAGAAATCGAAAAAGAAACATCCGCAAAAATTTTGTTAATAGTTTCTGTGTTTATCCGATTTAACTGCCTTGTCAAAATTAAAATATACTGGATTAATTAAATACATTAAAATAAAATATTTATAATTTATATTATTATAATTAATATTTGAAAAAGTTTGAAAATACGCAAAGGGAGAAAAATAAATTTTTACTTACCTATAAAAATTATACGTTAAGTGTATAAAGAGATCAATCGTGTTCAAAATCTATTTGCTCCGGCTGGTATTTCAACAGTAACTAACGCTACTTTTGACGCTACTGAGCCTCAAGTATACTAACTTTTTTTGGAGTACATATAAAACCTTAGAAATTTTGGGGTAAGGAGAAATTTAAAGTCATTAAAAGCACGAATGATTCCCATCCCTTCATTCACTTTAAGGGTTAAATTGCGTTTTATTAGTTCCGATTGTGAAATCTCTCGTTCGCAAGTGATAACTATCTATTTACTAAGTATTATGAAATTACTGAGGAGCCATAAAAATGTTATATGATCAAGAAATATCAAGAAGTTGGAACTCGCGACCTCTCGATAGCGGAGTTTTTCCATCTCGAAGCAGATTATACACAGCACGGATGGATCGTCTCGAAAGAGATGATTGACACGTTAAGAGAGTCGGCGAGATGGCGAACATCGGTGTCCGCTGCGATAATCGCGTGCTACTGAGGGAAAGTGGGGCACAATCAGACATCCCTCCGTTAAGTGTAGTTATATGTTCGACATCATGCAGTGTGAGGGTAAACCGACGTCGAGAATCTAGTCCCGATTACGTGATTATATATCTTTCGATTGAAAAGTTCGGAATTTCGTCATATTATCAACGGAGTATTGAGCTGAGCTAAGAAATGCTTTCCTGGGGACACTACGTATACATGTCTACTGAAGGATGTCGCGAAGAGACACATAAAAGGCGTCCTCAGAGTTTCCAATAGACGTTCCCGTATGCCTCTTTTGAAACTTCCTGTGTGTTGCCGCGAGCCGATTCTCGAAGTGGCGATCTTTCAATCCGCGCGATAATCTATGCACCCGATTATGGATCTTTTCAAAAGCGTTGGCTCAATAGCATTCGCCGCGGCTACGCCGCAGACTACACACGACCGGGCTAAGTTGCAACATTTGTCACAAATGTCGCACCTTTCACGATTGCGACGCGTTTGTCATCAATTTAGCAGTCTACGCTGGCATAATGACAGATAATTGCGAATTCTCTCTGCCCTGTGTTATCGTTTCAAGCGCGAGAGCTTCGAGACACGTGTGATTACTATTGCAATTTATTTCCATTGCAACTGTCATTTTGTCTTTTACTTGCTAAAGCAAAACTCAAAGTCGCCTGTGCGACATAAATTCTAATTCCTCGATTTTGTCCATGACCGGAGGACCGGATATGATTTTCTAGTGACTACAAATTACGACAATATTGCAATATCCGAAATTGATTTGGAGTCGGTTAGTACGACACGCGCTTTGTGGAAGATATGCTGTATCTTGCGAACGACCGAGAGGGTTAAAGAGTTCCGCGTTGTGTGCGTGCTAATTTCTGATGGCCTACCTGGTGGCAATTCATATTGCTGTAGGACCGAAGACGCGAGGCGAACTGAGAAGATGATCCACCGGGGAGTTTATATACCGCGCGGACCCTTTGTTACAGTTTATCCTTCGTGCCGCATATCCATGTATTAACCGGCGTATTAGAATGACCGGCCGTACTGTGGGAGGGTGTGGGAGGCGGAGAGGTGCGCATCTTCCCTTCACTCCGTGTGATGCATTATGGGAAGAGATAGCCCGCTGATGACTGAGGTGGCTTTAAAATTTTAATTGGAGCTACGCACGTGACTACGACCTCTCTCGATCGGAGGGCGATCCTCTCGACGGAGTACTCACGTCCGGGTAACAAATCAAAATCGATTACCGGCACGCGTGGCGAAAAAATCGTTTCACGAGCGAACTGTTTCTTCGCTCAATTTGACTCATTTGAATTCTTGATCCTCGAAATCGAGAGTCAATTCGGGAGAATGTACGAAACGTACTATGGAGTACATACAAAGTATATTGATCGATTGGAACAGATAGTTGGGCGTGGAAAAAGTAACAGGGCAGTGAAAGGTTTGACGCGTCTTAAATTTGCAATTATGATTACTCCGAGTGTTTTTATATGTATAGAGGATTTTGCACAGATACCCTTTTGTATCGAGAGGCATGGTATAATGTGAACTTTCGTATTAGCGTAATTAATGACAAGTGTATCTTTAGTCCAAATCGCTTCTTTCTCTCGTGAAAAATCACAACGCAAGGCTTGATTACAATTACGTTGAACGTAACTTTTTTTTCGTACGATACAACATAGTTGACGATTATAAATAATCAGTCGAAGAGAGTTTGCAGCATTTTCTTTTTTTTAATAAATTCCGCAAAATATTTGTATTCAAGAAGAGAATTTGTTATTTTTTTTAATAACTCTCAGAAAAAATAAAATTTTCTAGTTAATACATTCATTTCCTGCTATGTAACTTGAAAAATAAATGCATATATGTAACGAATGTTATGATAGTTATATTATAGCCTTTTTAAATTTATTGTAAATTTATTGCCTTTTTATGTCTAACTTTTAAGTCGACATATTCGATATTGCTGTTATATAATTTGAAAAATGGAAACATAAATTTTATTAGAAATTAAAAATTAAAACACACAGTAACATAATGTGCTACATATATACAATGTAGCACATTATTATAAAAGAGAGAAATATATTGTATGTGTACCGTAATGATATTCACTATATTTTTACCAGTTATAATGATTGAGCAAGAAAAGATGTAACTAATTAGTTTGTAAACGGCAATAAAATGTAACAATAAAAATTTCTAAAATATTTTTCTTTTGTAAAATAATCAAGATCAACTTAATTTTTTTAAAGTGGAATCATATCTTTGTTATTTTTATTGCTATTTCACACCAAAATGTAACATAATAAAATAATAATAAAGAATTTCAACAACGTATAATACAGGTATGTAGAAATATAAATCGAAATATGTTAATTGATATGATATATAAAATTTTATTATAAAGGACGGAGCTTTTTGTGTGTTGCAGAAAACAGATTATATTTTTATATATTTTGAATATGTCCTGAGCATATAATATTATTCATTACATCATACTCCAGACATTATCATACTTTTTGTCTTGATATCGTATATCTTTATTGTTAAATGTTAATAAAATTAATATTATGAATTATTATTGAATTTGTTTTCCTTTTTACAATACTACAGGTAAAAAAATATCTGGTTCTATAAAAATGAAAATAACTTTAAATATTTAACGAAAAAATAACATTTTCGAAATTTGTATTATTGCACTTTATGCCGTTTAAAACAAGAACATTTGTTGATTAATTATACCGTTTAAATACTTATTAATTGCATTTAATTTGACTTTTTTTTACCCGATTATTGTAACTGGTTTAAAATATGAAATATCTTTTAAAGTTTTTTATATTTTACATAAGTTAAAGTTTTACATTTTTCGATAACTTCACCTTAATATTTTGCATGTAGAATGACGGATAAAATCGATTTTTGCAAAAAAACATATAAAACCATTAAAATTTAATTTAAAATTAAAATTAGACATACAAACAATTTAAACAAAATTCCGTGCATTTTGTAGATTTATTGATGCACCAGTAAAGATTAATATTATCGATAAATTTTTCATTTATGTATGAAAGTATTCAGATGAGATATTCGAAAAATGAATAGTTCACGAGATATTTCATATCTGGTGTATATTGAAAAGTAATAGAATAAAAGGCGAAATATTTTTGGAAATATTCACTTTTCGATGATTTTATTCTAGTATTTTTGTACGCAGAATTTTTATACCAGAAGCATTGATTAATGTTTTTTATGATTTATTGTTTTATTAGAAAAATGATTCTACTTAAAAAATTAGAGTTAACATTGATAAGGTTTTTCAAAGTCATTCCAAGATTATATAAATATTACTATCTTCTTTTCTCTTCCTCTATTTTTGTTAGAAATACTTTTCCATATCTTTTTTAATATTAGAGATATATAGATTAGAATAGTAAAGACATTAGATTAGAATTAGTATCGATTAAAATAAGATACTCTGTATATAATTATTTTGAAAAAGGAAAAATTTTAATATAATAAGAACATAAAAATTTCTTTCTCGCTACATAACGGGTGTCTTAGAAATTCATAAATGTCATATATTAATTACGTTATTGTGTTAACTAAGTTCCTACTGGATATACTTTCTAGAGTTCATTGAGGTTAAAGTTGTATCTAGGCGTTGTTTTTCCCGCTGATTACCTCAATAAAGTCGAACTCGTATGCAATTTACCCGTACAGATTTATCAGCGAATATGTAGTAGAAAATGCGATCAAATATGTATCGGATTGTCGTCAGTCGAGGTAACAGGCCAAGGAGAGATTTTCGTGCCACGTGAGGCATGAGCGCGAGCTCCTCGAAACTATCGCAAATCATCGTCGGATTGAGCAATCAGCCTACACCGCGAACTTATTTTCGACATCGCGCGCCGCGTGATAAAAGAGAATCCCCGAGGCACGTGGCGGCGGCGGCGGCGAGCGCATTCGATGCGTTGCACGCGCGCGCATAAGAATGCGATTGCATATGCCACAGGCGCTCCGCTCGGGAAAATTTGCACCGGCGTATCTGGGTGGTGATCATATAATTTTTCCTTATAAGAGAAAAAGTGAAAAGTCTCACGTGAACAGCTTTATATATCCTCATAATTAAAGAAAGATAATTAAATAATCACAATAAATAATTACACAATAAATAATTGATTAGGACTTTGATTTTCAAATTCACACAATAGCTACTGATACATTCGCTATCAGCGTAACATAAGTGTGATAACAAACATTTTTTTCTATATCCACGTTATCAAACTAGTATAGAGCATTGATCGATTGCAATTTTCTTTTACTAAAATATTCGGTAAATCAGTAATCAAAATTAATCGTCATATATAAAATAAATAATATTTTTATTGATTGATGAAATTAATTATTAATCAAACTTTGATGTGATTAACATTTACATTAATTAATCATTGATTTTATCAACCGATTAAATTATTTATAATTACATATATTGATTGATTATATATAATTTAAATTATTGACTTTAAATTATCGATTATTTTAGTCAAAGAAAATTTTAATTTAATATTTAATGCCCAATATTGTATCATATTAAGTCTGTTTTATACAATTACGTAAAAAAAAAATATATTATATGTTAAAAAAATTACAATTACAATTACAATTACATTTACAATTACGTAAAAAAAAATATATTATATGTTAAAAAAATTTATATTTTAAATACAAAAAAAATATATTTTTTTAAATAGATCTGATTTGATACAGCGTTGGGCATTAAATGTGTTAAATTAAAATTATATATATAATGTATATATACATATACGAGATGAGGTTTATGGAGAGAATCCTTCAAATAAACTGTGGTAACAAACATGTTAAAAGGCAAATCGCAGTTACTTAACACATATCAGATATTATTACAAAGAAATATAAATATATGAACGTTTAGATCGGACATTTGGATTTTTTCTCAGTCATAGCAATCTATCTTTATCGGTTGTTCAACGGTTTCAAGTGGATTCTTCACATTGTTATTCTTAATATCTTCCATTTGACATGTTCCTTTATTTGCGGCTTATTTTTACTGTATGACTATATGTATTATATTGCTTTATATTGCTATATTGTATCGCTTTATATTACTGAAGAGAGTTTAAATCTGCGATGGAAACAATTATATATACACACACACACACACACATATATATATATATGTTTACATTTTTTTATAATAATATTTTATATGCACTAAACTGCTACAATTTGGCTCTTAAATTAAGTTTTGTGTCTCTTTATTAAGTAGTTGGAAAAGTTATATACTAATATCATCAAGTTTACATAAATCAGTTTTCACGTTTCTGCTCTTCTAAGAAATAGCAACATATGCGACTGCTATACTGCTGACGATGAATCAATTTTTTCTCGATGTCCCTCGATGATTCATCTTCACAGAGTCTGATATGTTATTCGATTGATTTCGATTTCAATTCCAATTCCGATCCCGGCCTTCGAAAAGTTGTTTCGTCGCACTTTCAAGCCGTCTAGCCGGATGAAAAAAAGAAACGCTTAGCGCGGAGCATACGCTGATCTCATCCGTGTTAGCCCGAAGTGTATCGAACCAATTACTGGGTTGTACTTACGAATGAAAGGTAGATGAAGAAATACCCGGCCGCCGGCCGTAATCGGACGAGTGGTGGTGCAGAGAAAGATGCGACGTGAACCGAGTGGGATATAAATCCGATCCATCCATCCATCCATCCGGCGCACCGTCCTCGAGTCCTCCCGCGTAAGAGAGATCGCGAGAGATGCTGCTCAATCCGATCCGCAGAAAAGATATCGAGGGGCGCGCGTATAAATCTTGGCAACGCGAGCATGCTCGCGCGACGCGACTTATGTAATCGTTTAACAAATTTACGGATAATCCGACGCCACTCGAGATGAACTCCAGAAGACGTCTCAATAAGTATTTTTGCGACCGATTTCGCGATATCGCGTAACTCTTCGAGTACTC